GAAACCTGAGCTCTCTCTCGTAGTAGCCCTGTTCACAGTAATGTACTTACAAAAGCTGCTAATAGACAATGGCACGTCTCTTTTGTTGCTGACCAGAGGACAACGCTAACCTTTAAAATGGAGCTCGACTCCTTACAGTTCCTTTATCCTCCTGTTCTACTGTAATTTACAGCATTTTTAGTAATGGCCTAATTAGAAGGAGAATGGAACTCAAGCTCTCACAAAGCTCTGCAGTTTCTGGCTTATTGAGCAGCATTTGTTAAGTCGAATAAGCCCACTTTACTTGCATGCTTTTCTGTTTGATTTTAACTGGTAGCTGGTTTTGTTGTTTGTTTAGACCTGCTTATTTTAGTCTTGTATTGATATGGGCTATCTGGGGTCATTTGGAGATATTCCACAGATGCTTTATGCTTATTATTTATGAATTGGCCAGTCAAATCCCTTAAAAATCACATTGTCGGATGTCCTCTGGACCTTTCAAACTAATCCAGCTTGAATAGGGCTTAAGACCAATGCTAAAAGTAAAGCTGATGCCCACACATTAAAGTACTGAACAAATCTAAATATTTTTAAAACTTTTGCTGCCTTCAAGTCCTTTGGGAAATATTGTAATTACAAGAAGAGTGCATGTGATCCCCACCACAATGTTGTAATTACTAGGTGGTCACTTATATTTGTATTGTAAAATGGCTGTATTTCTTGTTATTCAGCAGCTATGTGTGAATACTGCAGGCTAAAGTCTTTTTATTCCCATCCACATGGGAAAATACTGGGATACAAGCATTATTCTATGTGTTTCAATGTCTCTAACTGGATAAAAATGTATGTACTTCCTTTTCTCTTCACTTTGTAAATAAAAAACCTGAGGGCAGCCTGACTATTTTGAACTAATTTAAAACATTTAGAAATTATGAACCTCATCTACTACAGTTTCCTAATTACTATGTGTGCCTTGTTAGAAGTTAATTAGTAAAATGTCTGTCCTTGTTAACGTATTTGAGCCAGCTGTGTTGTAAAGTAGGGTGGGTTTGAACAGCTCTATTTGGTAGAAGATCAATTTGTTCTAGACACCCTCTAGTCCTTCATTAATGGTCAGTTTCTGACCATAGAGCTGGTTATTTTCAGCTGGTGGACCACTTTCAAACTAGCAGTCACAATGATCTGTGTAAAACTCCATCAACACTACTGTACCATGGTCCTATGGCTGTCCTGACACATTGATGCTTGAGATAGGGGGGCTGATAAATTGTGCAGCAACAAATAGGCTACAGTCAGTATCTGAAAACCTACAAAACAGGGATGCACTGAAATTTCAGCCACTGAAAAGTGAAAATGAGAAACAGTGATTAAGCTGTTTGTTCCTCTCACTTTCCTGCACAAGTCAGTGCAGGCTCGATCAAACAGTCTGAGGAGCAGTGGCTCAACAGTGAAAATGTTGGCCGTCTGGAACTATTCAATGGTTTCTATAAGGGACAACAAAAAAGTGCTTTGGTATCACTGTTCATACGGAGTATCAACATGGATTAAGAACTTCCAAGACCTCCAGTGGTGGGCAATTTGATGATATTTTATCATTATCTTGATAAATTATGTCACAATATTCAACATTTTCTGAGCATATCATGGATGTTATCAGTACTTAAAGAGCACTAGCTGACTATGTTTCATGTTCATTACAAAGCGAGCATAATCAGTCCCAATTAATTGAATTTAGGTTTTTTATTATTACAATTTTTATATGTGACACCACGGGTTCTATTTTGTCTGTTCCAGCTTATGAAATCTCAGAAGAATTAAATATCGTGATTCACGTTGTGTATCGTGAAAATGAAGTGTGAAATATCATGTCCCAGCTAGCACGCCGATGCTGTCTGTAGCTACAGTTTTTGAAATTATGAAAAATGAAAGTGTCAAGCTGTAAAATATAAGTAAAAATAATGGAATTTGTCGCCTTGGATTATTTACAAACAGGGTGGTTGTACCAAATAAACTGACTACTCGATGTATTTCGATTATTATTTCACAGTTTTGGTGCAGTAAAAATAAGGAAAACTCTGTTCTATGTGTCCTTCTGACTGATACTACAGACCACCCCCTCCCTCCCCTTACAGCTCTCTTCTCCTCTTTGTCTCTGGTTTGGAGAGGAAAGCTCTGTTGCCCTGGCCCTGAGAGAAAGAGATTAACCCTCATTTGAAAGTGAATCTCATGGCTGTATCTGATCTGAAGTCAGCTCGAGAGGCCACCGTCATTAATTAGAACCCTTCTGGGGCTCGGCTTATCTGTTCCCGGGTCGGTTCACTGGCCAATGAGCTTGCCGGGCACGTTCTGCCGTCACCGTGTTTTAAATGTAGTATGAGGAGAGTCATGTGTTTGGATTAAGGGTATCGTTATTCAGGCTGTAGGGCTTATCTGGCCAGAAGAGAGGTTAAATAATGTGAGGCTACTCCTGGGATAGAGTTTTATCTGATCTGCAGTCAGTGAGAGATAAGTGAGATTTAGAGCTACTATTTGAGTCACGGCTCTTATCTGATCTCAGGTCGGCTGAAGTGTCAACAGCAGGAGTGCTCTAGTTAAATACTTATGCTTACATGTGAGAATGAGGTTCGTCCATATAAAGAAAAGCTTAATATGTGTATTTTTAATGTAGAAATGAATAAGAAAAGTTTAAATACAAGTAATGAGTGTAGCAAAATGCAACCCACCTATGTTAATACAGAATACAGTCAACTCCAGAATTATTGGCAGCCCTCAAGAAACAGGGCAAAAACAATTATATAAAACAGACAATACACATAATGATTCAAATGTTCCTCAAAATGTTTGGAGAAATTGCTTACCATTTATTTAACAGAAATAATTCCTAAAAGAGTGTTGTTTTATTATAAGTATAGTGTATTCTTTTAAAAACATTATTACAAACAAAAATACTATTATATTATTATTATAACAAAATTACTGCCAAACCTAAAAATACATATTAAATAAAACCAAAGAAATGTGTATCTTTGGGGAAAATATAATACAGAATATTTCTTTTTATTGCTCCTAGTCTCCAGCAACACTATTGTCTATAACCACTTTATATTTGCCTGGGGTAGAAATATGAGTTTATACACATGTAAAATCCCTTTGTCCTCCATCAACATGGGTAAGACCAAAGAGCCGTCAACTTAAAGGAGATAAATGTTTGTGGATCTGCACAAATTAAGAAGTAATTACAAAAAAAGTAGTAGTAAATTGAAATTACCATTAATTACCATTAAGTTCCATGAAATACTAGGAGCTTTCAGCTCAAAATCTGTCTCAACCAGAAGGCTGAAACATGGCAGTGGGTGAACCTTTCAGCAAGATACTGATGCTAAACACATCAAAATCCACAGAGAAATGCTTGTGGGAACACAAAATCTACATTTTTGTGACCCTCTCAGTCTCCACATTTAAACCCAACTCATGAGTATTGAAGTGAACACCCAAGTGTTATATCAAGGAACTGGAAATGTTCTGCAGGGAGGAGTGGTCCAAGATACCTTAAGAAATGTTCTCCAACCTTGTTTAGCATTACAGAAAGTGGCTCACTGCTGTTATTCTCGCCAGGGGAGGCTTCACTTAATAATAATAATGGCGGTGCCAATATTTTCAACAAAAACACTGGACTACTAAAGAGTACAAACAGAGAGTACAAATAAAAATAAGAACATATAAAATATTATTCAGTGCATGTGTGGTTTAATGTTTAATATTTAATATAAAGACTTTAGTTAATTTTCATAAAGCGTGGCAATAAATCTGGAGTTGACTGTAGTTTTTTCTTTAGATTTCTATCCAAATAGTAAAGTATTTGGGTTGAACCTGTAGACAGTCCTTTCCACACAGATGTGTCAGTATTGTTTCATTAAACTTTAATGGTCTTCCACAGTTGGTGAGCAGTGAGAACTTTGGTTCAGTTAATTTGTGGTTAACGTGAGACCGGATATTCTCAAAGCGGTTTGAATCTGGACTTGGACCAGGTCAAAACATCAGATTAATGGACCTTCTCTCCAGCCATCTCTCGTGTTTAGGAACATTATCTTGCACTTCCGGTCATCTTCATAAAACAGTTTGTCAATAGTGGGAAACAAATTTTTCTGTGAAATGTTTTCATCTCTGTTTCTTTTATGAAGTGTCCAGCTTCAGTTGTCTGTCATCCCTACTTGAGTTGGCTTTAGGCCTGTCAGATCCTTTCCTCCTGTATCGCTGCCACAGAGCATCAAACAATTTTACAGAAAGGCCTGTTTCCCTCTATTGGGAAAGCAGAAGATGACTAATCAGAAGTACTTTTTCAGCAAGATAATGCTCCTGCACACAAGAGATGGCTGGAGAGAGGCTCCATTAACCTGATGTTCTGGCCTGGTCAAAGTCCACATTTAAACCTCATTAAGAACATCTGGTCTCACATTAACATTTACCAGAAAAAAGTTCTCTACTGCTGACCCACTGTAGGAGACCATTAAAACTGAATTTCCCTTGACTAAGACATGTTTTTTGATGTACACTTCTGTCAGCTGATAACATTTTAGCACCAGTTCATCGCATTTATGTATGATATTAGTGTGCACATTTCCTTCAACATGGTTAGACAGATATTCGTTCATTAACTTGCTGTCTAAAGTTTGCTTCTGTAGTTTTGTAGAGGAGTTATGAGGTTAATGTAGCAAGTAAGTAATGGTGTTACTGTTATCTATACAAATGGCTGCTAATACTGTTTTTAGCTATGCAACATACTTTTGTCCATTTCTATAGATAACATGATGTCATACAGTGTCAGAAACCAAATGAGCGAGGCTACGTGAGACGACTGAACAACTCAACACAGTCCGAGGCAAGTGTGTGCTGACTGGTGGGTATAAGCTTCTGTTCCTTGTTAGCTACTTGCTAGCTGACTTGTAAAGTAGCCCTTGGGAACTGACTGTTCCAGTAATCTGTCCTGTGGTCAGAGGTAGAGAACACAAAGGCGAACTTACTTCAGGGATGCCTTTGATCTGATCCAGGGTCAGTTTGAGCAGCTGCTCATCTCTGCTCTCGGCCATCAGCTTCAGAGCGACCAGCTTCAGCCCACCTTTCAACAGCAGAGAGGAGATGTGGCCAATACACTGAGAGAGAGAGAGAGAGAGAGAGAGAGAGAGAGAGAGGAGTAAAGAAAACGAGAAAAGAGACAGAAAGAGACAGAGAAAAGAGGGAGAGATAAGAGAGGGAGAGAAGAAAGAAAGAGAGAGATGGAGAGAGAGAGAGAAGAGAAGAGAAAAAAGAACATAGAAAAAGAGAAAAAAGAAAGATAGAGAAGAGACAGGGACAGAGACAGAGAAGAAGGGAAGCACATGGAAAGAGAGAGCGAGGGAGAGAAACAGAAAGAGAGAAAGATCAATAGCAAGAGGATGAGAGAGGAAAAAAGAAAGGAAGAGAAAGAAAGAAAAAAGAAAAAGAGATAGATAGAGAAAAAGGGATATGCAAAGGGAAAGAGAGATGGAGAGAAGAATTTAGAGAGAGATAAAGTAAGAGGCAGAAGAAAAAGAAAATAAGAAAAATAGATAAACAAAAAGAAAGAGAGAGCAGGAGCAAAGAAAGAGAAAAAGAAAGAAAGAGAGAGAAAAAGAAATGGAGAGAAGCAGACAAAGAGAGTTAAAAGGATCAGTAGTAAGAGGGGTAGAGAGAAAAAGTAAGGAAGAGAAAGAAAGAAACATAGATAGACAGAGAAGAAGGGAAATTCAAAAGACAGGAGAGAGGGAAAGAAAAAGAGGGGAATTTAGATAGAGAGATAAAGTAAGAGGCAGAAGGAAAAAGAAAACAAGAGACAGAGAACGAGAGAAACAAAGAGAAAGAAAGAAAGAAGAGCAGGAGCAAACAAAGAGAAAAAGAAAGAGACAGATGGAGAGAAGCAGAGAAAGAGAGTTAAAGAGATCAATAGTAAGAGAGTGAGAGAGAAAAGGAAAGGAAGAGAAAAAAGAAAAAAGGAAAGAGTGAATTGAGAGCGAGAGAGAAAGAGAGAAAGAGAGACAGAGAGAGAGAGAGAGAGAGAGAGAGAGAGAGAGAGAGAGAGAGAGAGAGAGATTTATTTTCCTGATTGTCTGATGATGTTAAAGGCGCAGTGTGGGAATTGGAGGAGAGGGGGAAAGAGCCAAAAACGAATAAAATATGCCTCTCACACGACTCTGCTCTAGTGGTCCGCACCAGTGCTTTTCATTACAGCTGAACTCAGTTAATCCATCCTCCTTCTGCACTGTGACGCACCACAGCTCAACACACACACACACACACACACACACACACACACACACGTACCTGCGGGTGGAGTTTGTGTTTGGAAGTGTAGAGTGAGCGGCACATATCGAGAACCTTGTCTCCAATGAGGACACCAGAGCAGTGTGTGAGCAGGGCTGATGTCAGACACACCCAGGGGTTGTGCTCAGACTCCAGCCTGTACAGAGAAAGAGACAACAAGAGACCAAAACAGAGTGAGAGAGAGCGAGAAAGAGAGGATCAGTGAGCGGAGTTCCATATGTGATCACACAATGTGGAGATAAGACTCTTAGCTGCATATTAATGGACCATACGGCCCACCATAATTAACATGGTTTATTATTAATCATTCTTTATGATAAAAAAACAGCACAGTGTTAATCTGACGTGCATGTGTTAATGGGCAGGAGGTGACATCACACGCACATATAAAACTCTGAAGTTCACAATGTTCCAGGCACATTACTGCTTACTGTCACGAAGCACAACTTTCAGTCCTAACTATAGACGACAGCGATCCAACTGTCCACCAAATCTAGGCTTCACTAAAGCCCCTGTCAACAAGGTATCAACAAAAATCAGATTGTTAACAGCAGTGATCCTCAAGGCTTCAGTATCTGAAAAGGAAAAGTAGTTCATAACCACATATACCTGCAATACAACATCAGCTAGAGGGGTCTAAAAAAACATCCTGCTCTAGCACACTTCCAATAAAGTTCAATTCCATTCCCACCCACTTCCGCTGAGCTCTATTTCATCCCTGCCTGATCCCACTTGACTCTGCCATTGTTTGAAACGGCCTACTCAGCTTGCCTTGAATACCAATACTGGATAAATCTCTAACTGACCACTAGCTCAACAGGTAGTGGGCTGACTAGGGAATCACTTGGGGAACCAATCAAAATGGCTGATTCTTCTCATTAATCCACTGCCTATGGAAGTAGGGGTCGATTTGAGATTAAGCTATAGACTATGTGATGCATAGATCATTTGATTTCCTTCTTCTTTTTCTTCTTTGAGGACAACATGCACAGACTTTTACAATGAACCAGTATCCATTAGAGTATAAGTTGAATTATAATAGTAAAATACATTTTTTCCCTTCAAATGTGTCTGTTTTTTCACAGATGCATCTACTCTAACCAACTGCACGAAAACTGCTGTCTGCTCTCACCCAAAATTCACTCTTCTAATATCAAGGCAGTGCTCTAACATCTCCAATCTATTAAAAGCCTCACTGATGATCTTCTATGTACTGAATTATGAGGAAGTTCTGAATTAGATCCTCTTTGGACATTACTGAAAACCCACCAGTGACCAGAGCTGGAGCTTCAGAAACCCTGCTGAGCTCTTAAGCTTGGCTCTCAACCTAAAGCTACCCCAAAGGCCAGTCCATCAAGGGTTATTTGATTCCATTTTGGCATGTGGACTGGATTAAATCCTGGAAGCTAATTAACTGGCCATTTGAGGAATTAAGCTGATCTAGAATCCAAAATGTGTTGGGCTAACTCTCCCATACTGCACTACTGCATGGTTTTCAAAGCACTTTCCCTGCTTGGAAAAAAAAAAAACAAAAAAACAAAGCACTATAAAAACTGTCTGAAACACTACGGTTGTAACTCATCTCCTGAAAAGCTGTAATTTTAGAGATAAACGGCTTTCTTCCGGCGGTGAGGATATACATTTGAGAATGAAGGGACAGTTCTTAAATGTGCTAGCTATGCGGTCTTTGGCCTGAGGTGGAAAAAACAAAGCTGGAATAAATATGAGGGTTGGGGTTTAGATTCAGGCTGACATATTCACTGCAAACAGTTACACAAGGCTAAGAGCTGAACTCTAGCCAGGATATCACTAGCTACCTCATCCATCTATTAGAAAAGAGCTGAGATGGAGAGATTTTTGCCTCTGAACTGACCTCAGCTCTTTCAGGTGCTGTGTTTCCCAAGATTACTACAGCACTGCAAGCTAAAGGGAGTTCAACGTGTGGACATAATCTCACACAGAAGAAGAACTTGATTAAATGTCATTTATTCCTAGACACTCCTAACAAATTATTAAAACCATCCTATAAAAACTATCCCACAACTCAAAGACTTTCAGCATCAAGAAAAAAAGAAAACATCTAACAGAAAACTACACTAAAGCCTCAACAACTTTTCAGGATTTACTGTGTCCAGCCTTTGCCTTTAGTCTTTTTATTTTTTTTTTAAAGAAATCTGCAGGGATATTTTTCCACACCTACACATTTCAGTCTAATAAGTTGGTTGCATTTTCTGCTTCTCATGATCCAACTACTCCATATTACAATTTAGACTAATCATTCCATTAAAAATTCCTCCACATCTCAAATAGAAAGAAATGTGTAAGGCAGCTAAGGTATGTTTGGGTAGTAGCTTGTGTGAATGTTAGTCTCTTTAAGGAGGAACGTAATGTGGCAGTAGGTGCACAAAAATAAAGAATGGATATTATGCTTAGTGTTAAATGTGTTCTGATTTTTTCCGACACTGAAAAATGACTTATGGCCTTTTTGACTGTAAATTAAATAAATAAAATATTGCAAGTCCCAAATTTTACTTACTGTTAGTGTAATTGTAAATGTAATACTTTTAATTATGACTTTTCTTCATTTTGTTTTTTCTTTGTATGTATTATTTTTGTTTTTTTATTCCTTATGTATGTTCATATTATAACACTAGCCAGTTGAGAGCTGAAGCTCCTGCCATCCGGCCCCAGTAATGAACTCACATCGAATATAACTTAGATCTTTTCTTCTTCTCCATCTATGGCACAAAGCAAAGTATGATGTCTATTGCATGATAGAGTGAAATAGTTAACACACACACACACACATATATGTGTGTATATATGCTGCATGCACTTACACAGACTTCACTTAATTGAAAAGCATCACGCTACCAGAAACAGTCTTTATACTTTAGTATGAAGGCATCATTTCATTTGTGGTGGAAACATCATAGTACACTTTTACTGCCAAAAACAGACACAGTGCAGAACTGCGTGTGGGAGATAAGCAATGCCGTATGTGATCAAAACCATTAATCCAGCCGCTTTCTGAATTTTCTCTCTGCTACGTGATCCATGGACGCGGCATTCGCAGCACTTCAGCACGATTTCATCCAGTTCACACCTGGAGATCTGGCAGTTAACAAAGCTGAGGGTGCCAAAGTGGAGGAGAATCTCGTCACGCTATCAGGTACAGCTGAGTGACATACAAACCAAACAGTCTCTGCCTTAGTATCTCCTGATTGCCTGTAAGTTTTTGCTTTTTGTCTGCATTTTATTTCTTTTCACTGCCTTCTTAGCATGCCTGAAGGGCTTTTCTAGCACGTACTTTGACTTCTAACACAACACAATGTGCTTTCTTGACTGAATACATTCATCTGAATGTAGAACAGATGCAGTGATGTAACTGTGTCAATAACATCTTTTCTGTAACACAGCACTCAAATACAGCAGTAAGCCACTGAAGGAACCTAATAACACCCCTGAACCAGGGCAAAATCACTGTAAAGGCTGTTCCATGATGCAAAGAAACTACATGAAAAGACAAAATAAGCAGACAATTTTTTCGAACACTGGATGTAGCGCTATTACAAAAATTGCCCTGTTGTTCGAGACACAAAAAGCAAACATATGGGCAGAACAGAGTCAAATGGTGCTACTGTGTAGGCTACTTTCCATTTTGGAAAAGTCAGAGTTTCAACTCTTTATTCAGCTGAAACTTTATGTGCACAAAGATTCTATGGTCTGTCACTCCGTTTGAGCAACTTTAGAAGATGCAGGTCCACACATGACAAAATGTAAGAGATATTAGACCATGGAAACTCACAGAGTGGGGCCACCAAGTGCTGAAGAGCATCAGTTACTACAGAGTTCCAAACTGCCTCTGGAAGTAATGTCAGCACAAGTACCGTGCTTCGAAAGCTTCATAAAGTTGGGTTTGGGTTTTCATGGCCGAGCAGCTACACACAAGCCTAAGATCGTTATCTACAAAGCCAAGTGTCGGCTGGAGTGGTGTAAAGCACGCCACCACTGGACTCTGGAGCGGTGAAAACGTTTGCTCTGGTTGATGAAACATCTGGCTACTTTCCATTTTGGAAAAGCCAAAGGAGAATGGGGAGTTTTTGAGCACATAATGGTTTGTGGATGGTCCGTAACTCACTTGAAGCTGCTTTTGAAGAAGCACTCCGCATATGACGAATCGAACGAGAAACTAATCCTGTTGATTTTTCTCAAAAAGTTCTAGGTTCTGGGACACAGGGGACACGATCTATCATCTTAGTTGCTACCATGCCAACACAAGAGAGTGAACAGTGCCAACAGTTTGATGGAGAAGAGATAATGATCTACGGCTGTTTTTGAGGGTTTGGGCTCAGCCTCTTAGATCCAGTGAAGGGTAATGTTAATGCTACAGCAAACAAGGAGATTTTAGACAATTATTTGCTTCTAACTTTGTGTTTGAGGCAGTCCGTTTCCTGCCCCTATGCCTCTGTGCCCAAAACAATGTCCATAAAGACAGGAATTGATGACTTTGGTGTGGAAGAACTCCAGTGGCCAGCACAGAGCCCTGAGCTCAACCCCACTGTACATCTTTTGGGATGAACTGGAATGTCGACTGTGTGCCAGACCATCTCATCCAACGTCAGCACCTGACCTCACAAATGCTCTTTTAACTGAATGGACACAAATTCCCACAGGCCCACTCTAAAATGTTGTGGAAAGTCTTCCCACAACAGTGGAGGCTGTTACAGCTGTAAGGTGGGCCAAGTATATCTTAATGTCCATGGTTTTGGAATGGGAAGTGCAAAAAGCTCGTATAGGTGTGATGGTCAGGTTTCCACATACTTTTGGTCATAAAAGCATCATCCGCTATACATCTTTAACTGTGGTTAAAGTGAATGTTCCACTGTTTAGATATGATATATTTAGTGGTATCAGGTTTCTCGTGTACATTCATGTGTACATATATTTATTTTACTACGGCAACATCTATGTGCACAATTTAACCTGAACACATCACAACGTCTACAAAATAGCGTTCTATTACTGCATTTCCTTTTGACCTGCCCTGTCTCGCTCTGTCCAGAACTATCAAAGAGCAGGGACTTTGTGAAAGCAAGTGTGTTTCAAATACAAAGCCAGTCATTTTCCTCCAGTGAATCAAATAACCCGAGAGCTGTGACCTGGTGGGATTTACTGCCTCTTTTGATTGGTGCGTGTAATCAAAAGAAGCAGTAAAGCTCTCTTCAATTCTCCATTATATAACTGTAGCAAACCCAGATGGCACCTGTTCTGACTACCTATGGATTGGCTGATATGCTGTATACTGTTTTAAATATAAATTTAAATTTCTTGCCTGTACGTGTATAAAATAATTCTATTAAGATGCCTCTACAATTTCATAGGTTTCAATTAATTTGTAGGAAAAGTGGAGTCCAGTGTCCTGAATTAACATAATATTTAAAACATTAAATATTAAATAAGACGTTAAAATACCATCTGGTGTCTTGTAGCTTTCCCTTTTTCAGTCACCACAGCATGGAACAAAGTCCAAGAAATTTGAACTCCCACAAAGCTCCACACAGCATGGCAAAAACAACTGGACAAGATATGCAAAAGTGAATGTACAAGACATGCAAAAGGCTGCAATAACGTGAATGTACATTAAGGCTGGCTATACATGGTGAAACTTTCATGCAACTAGTTGCATGAGGTTAGTTGTCTGCAGCATTATTATGCAACCTGACAGTTACACAAAGAAATTCAAAACGCACCAAATTCATCGAGGATTGCATCTCTGTGTCAATATCTGCAATAAATTTCCTTCTTTGAATTCTTAAGTAATCTGAGCTCTGTGTATAATTAGGAGCAGAAAGTGAGGAGAAAATGAATCTGACTATAAACACTGGCAAAAGCAGCAGCTGTTATCTGTTGGCCAGTTAATACAGCTGGTTATCATAAAGTTGGCTTGGCTCAGAAACACTAACAAAATGAAAAAACGACCAACCCTATATAAAGTCAAACAGTAGGAACCTCCTTTTCAACAAACATCTGTTTTATTTTCTTGTGCATTGATCTGGTGAAATCAATCATCATTTGAAAGTATGTCATTCAATGGGATCATAATACTTGTTTCCCCAAAGTTGAGATAACTGCAACTGTTGCAGCTGGGTTTCAAATGAGTTGCAGGATGCTTTACATTATGCAACTCAAGTGCAATTTAGTTTCATGTGGGTTTCAAGCAACTAAAGTTGCATTAACGTTTTACTGTGTAAAGCCAGCCTAATTTATGTTAATGTAACAAGATTTTAGTTAGGTCCCATAGTTAGGTCCGGAAACAGTGGAAATACATTTCTCTGACAACCTAACATCATATACTTGATAGAAACTACCTCATGTAAGACACTGAGTCCTCTTCAGCATCCAGTGTTGTACCAGTAAGGTCACACCTCCGTTACTCATCCAATACTAATTGTGTTCAGCTTTTTAAAATTAAAAAAATCTTTTCTAATGTATTCCTCCCCTTGCTGCTACATTTTTGTGATACTGTTTAACATCCAAAAGAGTAAACCTCTAGCCGTGTTTTAATTTCAGCCGAAGTTTTTTCCTTACGAATATCTGGATAACTCTTTCCAGCATTCAAATGCCACAATTAGTCGGAATGCACATCACTAGTAAAACAAACAAACAAACAAACAACCAAAAACTAAACATAAAAGGTTTTGCTTGCACAGTTACACTGTTAACCTCAACATGCTACACAAAGCTATGCAACAGAGGAAGTCGCTGCAGTATTCCCCATACACAGCACAATGCCTAATCAGCAAGCTTATGATTTCTCCCTCTTCCTCAAATGCACTCTTTCTCCCTCCCTCACAGGCCAGCGCTGATTTAGCTTGCGAGCAGTTTTCTGATCATTTGCATTCTGCCTGCCTTCCACTTTAATCTCAAAAACTCATTCAAGCATCTTACACAACAATTTAGCTCATCAGGCCAGCAATCAAACTACACAATTTCCAGGAAAACTCTATGCAAAAACATATGTTTTATATATATATATATATATATATGATATATATATATATGTGTGTGTGTGTGTGTGTGTGTGTATATATATATATATATATATATATATATACACACACACACACACACACACACACACACACACACACACACACACACAGATACATACACTTGCAAAAAAAACAATGATTTCCTACTAGAGATGTGTGGGCAAACTTTTTTTTTTGCCCATACCTGGGGTTCTAAGAAATGGACTGCTTTTAATCTGGCATAACAAAACCACCGGAAATGTTCTACATTACTACAAGCACTGTTTGAACATGCAGCTTTCCTCTGGTATTAAAATGCACCTGTTCAAACTAATCTTAAATAAATGTGTTTCGGAAGTGCATGCTTCTAAAGATTACGCAACAACATTGCTTTTAGAGACATGACAATGCAATGAGCTGTACTATTATTTCAACAAATTTACAGAGTAAAAGACATTTACAGATGTAAAAACAGTCATTCATACACAAAACAGCCTCACTAAACTGCTTTTGGTCATGCATTTTGAATCTCAAACTGAATGTTCTGTTACTCTGAAAAGTGAAGAAAATACTGGGCTATTTCTTTAAATGTCTTCATCCTCACCCAAACTCTCCATTTCTTTGGATGAACTTACTGTTCATGCAAAGCCATTGTTTTGAATAATAGTTTTAAAAGGAAATGTTATCTAAAGCAGAAGGTAAAGTAAGTGCAGTAAGCAGAAAGGAATAAAAAAAGTCAAATGCATTTACCTGCTCTTGTCAGTTACTGGTGGCCACGCCTGTAGGAGAAGCATGAGGTACTGAAACTCCTGCCACTTTCTACTAGACTCCAACAGCTCCTGGAAGAGGGAGTAGCGCTTATCCTCATTCTCAATATCCTTCATCTCGCACTGTGAGAGAGAGAGAGAGAGAGAGAGAGAGAGAGAGATTTTGACTTTAAAGATACCTTTATTTTATTGACCTTCCTATATATATATATATATTTTTTTGCTTTAACTGCAGCAGCCATGGACCCATGAATAAACCTAAATCAACCATTCAACTGTTCATTCATCTTTTTCAGTATCAACCTCATGACAAATGTAATATCAAAGCTTCATCATGTTCAAGGCCACATAAACTGCTTCCCTTTTCCATATAATATCATCTTAAAATAGACATATTCAAAGCTCAACCATCACTACTAGGGCTGGATACCAAATACCAAACTGATATCTTGTCTTCAAAAGCAACTCCTGAAAGATTTTTTTCCCTGACACCTTACTGTAAATTACAAACCAAGAGTGGGTGTAGCTTAAACTAGAAATGACTGTGAGGTGATGGAAGGGAGTATATTTACTGACTGCAATGGATTACAGGCTAACCGAAGTGCTGACATTAATGACATGCATACTGAATATCATACAGACAGGCAATAAACAGCTCAGATTCTGCCTCCAAGCGGGTCACAACCGTCAGGATTTTATCAGCTGCATTATGATTGGCCACCCACTGCCCGCATGAACGCACTTCCATGCAGAGGTAACCAGTTTGATGGGAAACAAACCTTTGTTTATGAAGCTAAATGCTGGCTAGTCAATAGTATCAATAAGCCATTTGGAGAAAGAGACTCTCACTGGGTTAGAGGTTTATGATCATCACACCTCTAAAAGTTAAGAAGCATAGCTGTGTATTGCTAGAAAGCAAAGTGGTAACTTGTGTTTTTTCACCGCACATTCAAATACAAGAACACAGTTAGAATGGACTTATAATGTCAGCACTAGTTACCTAACAAGCAAATATTACCCTTAGCAAACTCTTCACAATGTGATCATTTTGAAAACAGCGACTGACAATTAGAGCTGGGCGATATGACAAAAACAATATCATGATACTTCAAGAATTTTTCACGATACATGATCACGATAATTCTGAGAAGCTGAAATAGTTAAAAACACAACAAAACGAAAGTTCTGCAGTATCCAAAACCAATAATACAATGATGTGTTTTCAACATTTCACATCCTACACCGCAATAATTCCAATTAGACAGCACTAATTGTGCTCTCTTTGTAATGAAATATGCAGCTGGTCAGTGTTTTTAAGTACTGATGATGTTCACGCTAAGTGACGTGTGTCTTTTCAGGTGAGGGTGGGAAGTAACAAAGTATAAATACTTTGTTTCAGTAAAATTTTCAAGTATCTGTTCTTTTCTTGCGTATTTTACTTTTACTAATTACATTTCTAAAGAAAAAGCTGTACTTTCAACTCACTTTTTAAACCAGGCTTGTTACTCTAAATTTCTATTGGTCTATATACAGTGTTTACAATCAGGCAACTTCTATTCAGACACCTCATTCAGCACCAAATTGTTAGCAAATCAAAATCCTACTGGATGCAAAACCAGATGAGTGTTCCACTGACATATACATCTGCACTTTTCTACAGGTCACCTGTGACAGGCTGCTTCCACATCTATCAGGATCATGGGAAAAGGACGAAAAGACAAGCAGCAGATGAGACGGATAAATCACGAAATTCAAAGAAAGCGACAGTGGCAAGCCAGCTCATATTCTGAAAGGTGCAAATAAAATAAGCTGGAAAAGATTCCATCCACCCATCCTTGGTCTTACTTACAAGACCTATTTGACCTGACTGTATCAAAAAAACAATTCTTAGTGTATGATCTACAAAAATAAACAAGCAAACAAACAAACAAAAAAACAAATGTTAAAATCTGTCGTTTGTATGATTTTGCAGATGATGCATGCAGTTCTAGTACCAAACCAATATTTACGCTTAATGTCATGGTTGTGTAGATCTAATTAACACCCAATTAAGTAACATCCTGTTTCAAAAACTGAATAAGATTTTTAAATAAACTTGAGTAAGGAACTTGTGTACTTCTGTCACCTCTGCAGGCAAGACTATGCAGACCGAGACCACTACTGCCTTCACCAGTCACGCAGGATTTGTCCACCTTCTCTCTTGTATTTCATTCAATACCATAATAACAACATCATCAAACCTGAACTCAAGAGCTACACATTTACAATACAAGTATTTAGACGTTAATGAAAGAAATGTATTTTTCTGTGTAACCTGTGTTTACAATCCTTAACCTTAGTGGGCGAAAGTAAAACACAGCAGGAGAAGAGAAGAAGATGGAGGGAAGCTTAAGAGCAAATGATGGAAAGACATAAGCACATTGAGAGAGACAGAGACAAGAGTTAAAGCAAGAAAAACAGTCATGAGTGAAAAGTAAACGAGGGGGATGGTGGTCCTGGGGTTCTGAGAGCAATTCAGTGATACTTAATGCAATTCAGTGACTTTCATGAGGCAATGGTGCTGGAACAGCAAAAACAAAAACCAGTAAACAAGAGCGGTGTTAGGGAATAACTGTATTAAGAATGATGAACACAGTGAAAGAAAACCGCTCAGAGATCGAGCAAATGCACTTCCACTAAGAGAACTTTCATCATCCCACAGACACATGAAGCTAACCGCTATGCTACATACATTTCTATCAGGTTCACTTCAGTTATGAGGCAAAAATACTGCTCAGAAAAAAACTTCTCTAGACAGCATGTCAGGGACAGCTGAGGTAAGTTTCTGGGCTGCGATGTTATCCCTGGGATTTGTTTCGCTACTATATATCAATTTCTCTTGGCAAACGAAGCAAAAGCAGCTCCCGCTGTACTGATCTTTTTACACCTCTCAAATGTTTGTCCGGTCTCGTCCAAACTGTCAATCCAGGCCCTCCTCCACTTTTTTCACAGCTTTGTCAATATCTGACACATCACTGGCTGTTTTCTTACTACACTTGTGAGTGAAAAACCTACTTTTTATCAGTCCTTATCAGGATCTTTGTTATTCGCAAAGGACACTACCATTCAAAAGTCTGGAGTCAGAGTGTTTTCAATAAAACCTATTTGGTTGCAGACAGGTCCGGAACATCCTGTTGCTTTTAGGCGTGAGCCCAGGAGTCTAAGCCATCTGGGGGCCACCTGTGGGCAATTATTAGACAATCTAAACAGCTGTTTTGATTCTTAGTGGGATCTTCACTAGCGGCACAGCAAAAAAATGAACTCATGTCAAATTTGCCATGTTAACATAATTCTGATGCTCCCCAATTGTTTCCTAAACGTCTGCTTCATTTTCTCAATCAGTCGCTGCTTAGCAACTTTTCAGCTATCCACCATTACCTTGGTCAAGCTGTCAGGTTTTAGCACTGAGCTAATCTTTGACCTTGAGTTTGAATTTGAAACTCCAGATATTCAAAAGACATGCCTGGGGGAAGGTAAATATCAAATGTCAGCCCAAGCTAAGGAAAAAAGTGGCATGGTTCTTGCCAGCAGTGATCTATGAACTGTCTACGTCCATGTATAAAGTGATCAGAGATAAGATATAAATGGGGTAAAAAGAGACAGTGCGCTTTAGCTTAGAACGCTTGATGATTTGTTTTGTTAAGGTTGCCGGTTCTTTTCTGTCTTTATGTACTGCCTGATTTTTATTTAAGACATCTTCTTTGGGGTAAACGTATTACTTGTCGAGAGTGAACGCATGCTTTATAGGAAAGTGTTGCATTGATTTTGGGATTTATGTTAATCAGTGTTCTTGTTAATGTGCACATACTGTTGCTATTGTTTTGTCTTCACTGGAAAAAAAAAACATGCGTTTATAACATCGAATTGGCCAACACCGTCGTTGGTACGCTGCCATCCCTGACCACCTGAAAAACAGAGCCAGCTAGGGGCCCACCAAACATGATAACTCCATGATCAGGGCCTGGTTGCAAACCAGTCCTGTTTAACTTTAACATATGCAGTAGAACACTAGGAAACTGTATACAAATACAAAGAAATGTTAGATGTATCCAGAACATTGCTGAACACTCTTGGCAAAAAGGATACAACATCAAAAATAAAGGCTCTACGACATGTAAAAATGGTGGAATACTATTTATAACCATATTCAATAGCTTTTCTATCATAGAGAAAAAACATGCTGATGGCAGCAGGACAAAAGAAAAAGGAGAATTTGGGAAATACTACATCAGAGTTCAGATGATGAGATGATTCTTGTTTCTCAAAAAAGGTTTAGCGATTCACTCCGACCAATTAGCAGTCTGTAGCGTTTTTACATCACCTTTTGGTATCAGCTTAGCTTGCTTGGAACTTAACTTCACGTAGTTGGTACCAAAAAAGTACCAGTTACCAGATACCAACTTTTGTCTAATGGAAAACCAAAAAAGGCAAGTAGAGTCGAGTCGAGCTGAGCCAGTACCAGGCAGTGGGAAAGCATCTTTAGCAAAGAGACCTTAAAGAACCATTTTTAATGATGTATAAGATTCTAAAATGATTGTAAAAAGCTGTACTACCAAAGTATAATAGCAGCAAAATTATTGTCTAGAATTCACCATATTTCAAAAGTGGAGATCAAATCTTGAGGCAAATAATGAAAAAAACTAATGCAAATATATACAGTACTATGTAAAAGTCCTATCCACTAAAGCACATTGTTTAAAACCCTTTATCTTGGCAGTAAGTGTGTTTTAGCCAGTAAAAGCACTATATATTATTAAAACAAATGCAAATAAACATAAATGCAGTAAAATCTAACTAAAAGCAGTGCACTTGACTTAACATAATGAAGCACTGATTAGACAAACCAGGTTTAATAACTACAAATAGTACTGAGCTTCCTGGAGGAGAAATGTGGAAATCCAGATATCCAAATCCAGACATAAAAAGCATCCAGCTACTTTAAATTTAGCTTTAAATGTACACCCATTGCTAAAACAGGAGTTCAGCTGCACTTAAACAGCGCTTAAAAAGCACTGCTAATAGAATGGGACGCTCCAGAGCAGCCACACATGGGCCTAAATTCACCACTGCCATGTGACACGGCC